CAATCAAAATAAAAACATCTTATATCTAATCATCCTCTTTTAGGCTATGTTTGGTAAAACTAGCTGATAGCTGATAAGCTAACTTATAACTTATATGTAACTTATAGCTGAAAAGCTTGCTTATATGATAAAAGTGTTTGCTAAAATTAGCTGATAAGATAACTGAAATAAAAATTTCAACTAGTTTATTTGAAAATCTACCTAAAGAAGGTTATGGGATAAGTTCGAACTTTTTAAAAAAAGTTCGTCCTACCAAACGAGACTTATTTGAATACAGGAAGCTTATAAGCTAATCAAATAAGTTATAAACTAGCATATTTGTCTATCAAATATAGCCTGTATATAGGTGGAGCTTGAACTTTCATATCTCAAATGAGGGTGATTTTTTTTTGGGGTATGCTTATGTCATGTCAATGTATTTAATATGGTAAGATGAATCAGAAAAATGCTAAATGGATCAAATGTGTCGTGTTCAAATTCTTTTGTAATGAGAATACAAACTGTTAAATTAGACCAAGGAAAAAAAATAAGGTTTTTATGACTAAGGTCAAAAGAACTGAGTGGATTTTTTCCCTTTTAATTATTACTTTAAGCGCTCTAGAGTGATTCGCTTTTCTCACATAAATGTTTTATTTTATTTCCAATGTAATTAAAATAATGCTAATTAACAATTAAATGATTATTTTTTCGTCCCCTCTCATGAGAATAGTCCACGTACGCCAGAATTTGTCACTTTCAAGTTTCAAATGCCTCATAATTCTCGACTGCCCCTTGGATGTTGTTCATTGCCAGCACTCATGAGAATGATTGATTGATAACTTGATAAAATAATAACAAAAATAAAAAAGAGGATCTCCACGTGATATACATAAAAAAATAAGGGCTATAATAGACGGTCAATTTGTTTATCGTGTATATAATTTTAAATTAAAACATCATACTCTAAATTAATATATATTAACTAAAGGTTAACATTTCACAATGTACACATATTTTTAGAAAAAAAGAAAGGTATGACAATTCACCTAACAGTTAGGTCGGCTCAAATAAAAATTTGTAGGTCTAACGATTAAACAATCCATCATTTCAACATATGTACAAGATTTTAAACTGAAATGTTATAATCTCTATGAGAAGATTAACAGAAGTATGACATTTCACATTTCACTATGTACATATGTGTTTTGGTAAAAATACTATGATGATCCACTTTCGTCCATGCATAAAAATGTGTTGATCTTACTTCTAGACAATCATTTTTTCTAATAAAAGTATAATAATTCATAGCATAAAAATTTAATTTTGGTAAAAAACTATAACTATACGCCTCACAATTAGGTCACAACGTATAAAAAAATTTATAGATACACAAAATTTCAAAGATAAATTTAAAACCCCCATTATATATTCTTATTATTAGAATATAATACATGAGTTGTCTCTTATCGTTTATAAGGAGAAAATAAGTCCAACTTATAATTTTATTGGGCTACTCCTCCTTCTACCTAAAAAATGAGTTTTCTTACTTTTTTTATTTTCTTTTCTTTTTTCAAAATGATTGTAAGAATTCCAAATGTCACCGAAAGATAGGCTTGTAGAGTGCGTGATAAGCTCCGATATTGGCAATTAAATACCATTTTTGGAGAGGCTCTTCTTTCATATGCAAATTTCCGTTTGAACTTAGAGCATCTTGATATTAAAACTCCATAAACCTATTTTTAGTTTTTTAACTGGCAAACCCCATTTTAATTCATAAAGCTTAAACCTATTGACTTTCGCAGTAAAACCTTGGAGATAGGTTTTGTAAACCTGTCCAAATGCTACCACTAAAGATACCCTTATAACGTGAAAATGAAACATGTCTAGTCAATTTTTAACTTATATCAACAAATGTGAAATAATTGCAGGGGATGCTGACCTACAAATTTATCTAAAAATATATCATTTTTAACTAATCACTCATTTTAACTCAACTTCACTATTTTCAATATTATCAATATAATTAAATAATATCAATCAGTCATTCTTATATATTACATCAATCTTAATTCACTATTAATTCACTCACATAATTTTAACTAACTATCACTTCACATCACATCTCTTATACTTTTACGTCAAATCAACTTTAATTAATTTATTTTAAATATTATTCTAATACAAACTCAAAAATCTCACTAACAACTAAACATACTATTTTTTTTACATTAACCATATCAAATCAAAAAATTAATTAAAAAAAATAAAAATATATCCACGGTTTTGCTATGGAGCCATCGGATGGTTCGGCTTATGGAGTCATCCATAGTTTTCCACAAATGGTGTATTGACACGTGTTCTGCAATAAATGCACATTAGACACGTGTCAATACATTAAAAATTCTATGGAGCCACAGGATGGTTTTCTTATGAAGTCATCCACCACTAAATGTATTGACACCTGTCCAAAGTGTATTTATTACAGAACACGTGTCAATACACTATTGGTGAATAAGTGTGGATGACTCTATAAACCGAGCCATCTGATGGCTCCATAGCAAAACTGGTTAATACATAAAGGTATGGATGGCTCCATAAAGGAGCTATTCGATGGCTCTATAGACTTTCTGTATATATCCAAGCATCCCCTTAGCGTTCATTAATTATGCCATCAAAATAGGAAAATTCTGACTTAATCGTAAATATTCGATACTGACTTTTGTTAGGTTGTCAGTTGTCTATAGTTAGAAACTCATTATATTTTAACAAGTATGATTACTTTCAAACCTACAGTTATACTTCTCAGACATGAAAACAATTAATAGTTTATAAATACATATGTTTTCTATTAGAAAAATTATAACCGTCTAGCTATGAGACCGGTAACAATAGTTGTATATAGTGGGATTGGAAATTTAAGCATCAAACTTCAAAATGGCAACTCAATAAATTATCACAAATTTTGTTAGTTGTAGGGTAGTCGGTCATATTCTTATATAAAATATAAGCACTTTGTAAACGTTGAAAGACATATTTTTTTTTTTCTTTTACATTTTTGATATTATATACTAATATTTTTAAAAAAATATATCACATATCCTTGCCACTTTGTACACGTAATAACTTTGAAAATTTCAACGTGTAACTCATGATTTGACCAAGTTTTAGTAATTACTTTGTGCTACTTTGATATATAGTGAGGTTGAATTTTTTTAATTGGAGTTCAAATTTAACTTAACTTCAATTTTATTAATATTATCAATATAATTAAATTATATTAATTAATTATTCTTATTCACATCACATTAATTTTATTAATTATTCATCCGCTTACATAATTTTAATTGCACGTCACTTTTAATCACATATTTCTATTTTTACATCAAATCAACTTTAATAACTATATTTTAAATATTATTTTAGTATAAACTCAAAATTTAAGTCAGACCCAACTCAACTAACTTTTTAAAAAATAACTCTACTTTTCCAGTTAACAAAAGAAAAACAATAAAAAACTTATATCTAAACACACGTATTTGTATATAAAATAACTAAATCCGTATTCAATTCATACTCAAAATATAACTCAACTTTAACTCAAGTACCCCACCATCTTTAATATTATCAATATAATCAAATAATATCAATCAATAAGTCTTACACATCACAACAATTTTAATTATCTATTCATCTACTTACATAATTTTAACTATCACTTCAAATTTATCCATCTCATACTTTTACATCAAATAAATTTTAATTATTTTATTTTAAAAATTGTTTTAATATAAATTTAAAATTCAACCAACAACTAATCATACTATTTTTTTTTTAAATTAACTATAATTAATAGCGGATATTTTTGCATCCAAGCATGCCTTTAATATATATATCACTTTTGAGATCAGCCAAATATCTTTTTTATTTTTTTAATCAAAACTTACGTCAATTTTTTGTGTTAAAAAGATTATTTTCCAAGTTTTGACACAAGACGTTAATGGGAGGTTGTCAACTGGAATTATCACTGCAGTAATTTGTAAATCTTGCAAAATCCTTGAGCCTAATTGGGAAACTCTAATATGGCAAAAAAGAATTGAAAGAAGAAAATTATAAATAAAATAGAAAGACTTTTGTCCTTTTGACCCACACTTTAATAGCAATAAAAAGAAAACAAAAGACGTGGCTGCTATATATTGGCAACCTCAACGGACAAAATGCGACCCATTAATTAGTATGTAATGAACGCGTTTTCAGACAAATGTATTTTTTGGCATATTTTATACTCTCTCAAATCTATTAATTTTTTTCTAATTATTGGTTTTAGTTAAAAAATTAGTTAGCACGAAATAATTTATCTGATAATTAATAAGTTAGAACTTGTGCATAAAAACTTCTCAAAAAATTATTCCATAACCTTGTACTAATGATGTTGTTAGACTATTGGTTCAACAGTTATATAGTTCAATAAATATATATATTTTAATTCTAAAATATTGAACTGCAAAATATATAAATAATAATATAATTTTATCAAAATATTATAACTGTCTAACTATTAAAAGTAAACTAAGGATAAGTTTTATTAATTTCAATTAGTTTAAGTGCACTATGAACCATATCACTAAATTAAATTATTTTATTAATTTCTAATAAACCGGGCTTGAGTGCAAATAATCCGCCGGTCAAACCCAACATCATTAACCTTGATTTATTTTACTCTTTATATCCGTTCAAATTGTAACTTCTTTAATTGGAAAACAATCTAAAAGCATTAACTAATTAATGGAAAACCAAAAGGGAAAAGAAACAATGGAGTACACTTACTTGTATTTTACAAAGCGACAACTTACAATCACAACATTACCAAAATTTGAACAAAATCAATTTAGAGAAAAAAAAAAATATATACAATAAATAGGTTTTTGTCCGTAATAAAGGAAAACCCAGAAAAAAAAGGAAGAAGAAGAAAGGGTACAAGCACTGAAGCACAAAAGCACAAGGCACTCCTTCAATTAAATAGCTCACAGCTGCATGGAAATCAAACTCCCGCCGCCCGCCGCCACCTGATCGAGAAAATACTCGCAGAAATCCTTGTCCGAAGCCCACCACGGCGGCTGAAGCCACCCCTCCGCCGAGTCTACCACCGCCATCCCCCCACCGGACTCGGCCGTCCCGTCGCCCCCCTCCAGGCTCGGCAGCTCGATGATCTCTCCCAGCTCGTCCGAGCCCGCCGCCGCCTCGCAGCTCCCGGAAGACGCGCTGTTGGACGCCTCCGGCGACGCCGGCGGCGTCGGCGGCCGGATCCCCTCCATCGCCGCCGCTTTTGCCGCCGCGTCTTGCACGTCCCGCGGCGCGACCGACGCTGGACGCGGCAGCGACCCGCGGAGGTGGGGGAAGTTGAGCACCGCGGATTCCCCCTTGACGGTCAGCGCCGCCACGTCGTGGGCACGCGCCGCCATCTCCGCCGTCGGGTATGTCCCCAGCCAGATGCGCGACTTCTTGCGGGGCTGCCGGATTTCCGACACCCACTTGCCCCAGCTCCGCATTCTCACCCCTCTGTAGACCGGGTGCTTATTTCCACTTTTGTCCCTTTCCCTCTTATTTGACTCTTTCTCTACAATTCGGGTCGACCCGGATGAGGACGACGACCCGGTCGAAAACGAAGAGTTGCCGCCACCGGAGGTGGTGGTGGTCTCGGCGGCCGCATACGGTGGCTCCGCCATTCGCTGGAGTTGTGATATATAATTGATAAATGAAATACTATATGTATATATATTAGTGAGGAAAAAAGGAGTGTTAGTTGGGGTGTGAAGTGTATGTGTGGTTTTTGGTGTCTGAACGAAGCTGGAAAACACTCAAAAACAGCGAATTAAAGAGACAAAATATCAAGTGTACGTTGGGAGTTGACAGCGACAACAAAATAAATCATCAATTTAATAAAATTTTGTGGAGAGAGACGTATCAAATAGGGTCATATATAGAGGCGTAAGCGATAAGAGCAGCTACTGTTCAAATTTTATTTGAAATTCTTCATCTTTTATAAATAAACTAAAACTAGTAGAATACCCGTGCAATGCACGAAATCATTTATTATTTATTTGATTTTAAAAGGTACTTTTTATAACTGTCTCATGACGTTAAAAGTATCATAAAAATGAAATTTATATGTTATTGAACATTTCTTTTTTTTTTTACACATTAGTTGGGCCGGTTCATGACCCGGCCCGGCCCAGCGGATCGTCGGGCCTCAAAAGTTAGACCCGGAACCAACCCGACTAAATCTCAGGGCCGGTTCATTGAACCGTCAGTTTTTTTAATAAAAAAAAAAAATTAAAAACAACTCTGACCTGCCTCCGATCTGGAATCGGCCCGTAAAAAAGAAAAAGAAAACACCCGGAACCGGCCCGTTTTACCAAGGTCCAGTTCCAAGACCAGTAGATCCAGGGCGGTTCTTGGCCGGGTCGGCGGACCGGTCAGGCCCTTGCCACCTCTATATGTACAAAATTGTTGGTTTGATTCTTTGGTACGTAAAATACTACATGATGTTCAAATTTTATCTAAAATTGTGTATTATTAGTTATTAGTTATCAACTTACGTTTTTAAAATAAAAAAAAATAAAAATAAAATTAAGGGGTCTTATTTATTAACAAAATTCTAGTAGAAAAAAAGGAGAAGTTTAAGAGATTTTCACGCCATTTTATTTATTTTTTTAAATCTAATTCAATATTTTGATTAAGAAAAATTGAAAGGAATCATTAGATTTTCTTAAAAATAAAACAAAATTTTCTTCCAGTACACCGATTTGTTTAACTAAACAAATTGTTCTGAATATCTGGTTAAAACAAAGTGAAAAAAATCATCATTTTTTTCTAAAAATACAACCGAATTTTTCTAACATTGCACCGATTTTACCAAACAAATTGAATTCAAACTAACGGTTTTGCTAAGAAGGCAACAGTTGGCTCCATCATAGTGGAGCCAACTGTTGGCTTCATAGCAAAATCGTTCAAATTAATTCAAATAAAAATCAGAATAACTTTTCAAGATTTATGCAACTGTTTCTTTCCTAAAAAAATTAATATGAAGATAACAAAAAAAAAAAATGATATTAACTTACCAAAACCTCGGTAAAATATGGCTAAGAAAAAACATAAGAATCTAAAAAAAATCGGTGCATTCAAATTTGAAAGTTGCACACGATTTTAAAATTGATTTGAATTTTTTCTTAAATAATTGAAATATCAAAGGTAAACCAATTTTGTTACCAATAAATGTGTATACGATTTTGAATGTATATCCCGTTTAAATCTCAATTTTGTTTTAAAATAAAAAATTGCACGTGGTTTTATCCAATTTGCACACCTTGTATGAAAGAAAAATTATTCAAAAAGATTGAAATAATTTGTTAAGAATTATACACATATTTGTTTTCTAAATTTGTATCCAATTTGCATGGTTTTTAGATTAATTTGTATTTGAAATTATTTTAAAAAATAATTGACATATTTTTTGCATAAGATTTCTAAATTTGTTTCCAAAAACAACGAGATTAGATTTTTGTAAAAATTAAAAAATTGATACAAAAAAATGAGATTCAAATTTTGCAATAATAATCTCCAAATTTGTTACAAAAAAATTAAATTTAGATTTTGTTAGTAAAGATTCACATGTGTTTTTTTGAACTTTCTATTAATAGTAAGTCAAATATTATATTTATTTGGTCAAACATTCTATTAATGTATTTTTCCAACAACCTCTTTATATATACTAGTGAGCAACCCGTGCGATGCACGGTGAGGCTTGTTCCTCAAAACCTATTTAAAACTTTATTTCTAAATATAATTACTAAAGTTTAAACATTTTATTTTGGCAAAAAATTAGATACAGAGTATGAAAAATCATATATTGTTGAACAGTTCCCTATACACAATATTTTTTATTTGAATATGTGGCAAACTTTCTTGTCAACAAATTAAAATTTTCAAACAATTGTGTGAAAAAAATTAAATTATAATATATTATTTATAGTGTAATAAATCGTAATATATTATTTTTAGTGTGATAAAATGTGTTGGGATAACTATGACCATTTGAAAAAATATTTAATAGTAATCTTAAAACTTTAATAAATGTAAAAAGATAAATATGACCATTTGAAGAAATATTTATTTGTAATCTTAAAATTTTAAATTTTGATAAATGATTGTATATATGCGCCAAGTTTTTAGGAACCAATC